CAGACTCAGGTTCAGACTCAGGCTCAGACTCAGGTTCAGACTCAGGTTCAGACTCAGGTTCAGACTCAGGTTCAGACTCAGGTTCAGACTCAGGTTCAGACTCAGGTTCAGACTCAGTTTCAGACTCAGATTCAGACTCAGGTTCAGACTCAGATTCAGACTCAGATTCAGACTCAGGTTCAGACTCAGGTTCAGACTCAGGTTCAGACTCAGATTCAGACTCAGGTTCAGACTCAGGTTCAGACTCAGGTTCAGACTCAGGTTCAGATTCAGGTTCAGACTCAGATTCAGACTCAGATTCAGACTCAGGTTCAGACTCAGGTTCAGACTCAGGTTCAGACTCAGATTCAGACTCAGGTTCAGACTCAGGTTCAGACTCAGGTTCAGACTCAGGTTCAGACTCAGGTTCAGACTCAGGTTCAGACTCAGGTTCACACTCAGGTTCAGACTCAGGTTCAGACTCAGGTTCAGACTCAGGTTCAGACTCAGATTCAGACTCAGGTTCAGACTCAGATTCAGACTCAGGTTCAGACTCAGGTTCAGACTCAGGTTCAGACTCAGATTCAGACTCAGATTCAGACTCAGATTCAGACTCAGATTCAGACTCAGATTCAGACTCAGATTCAGACTCAGGTTCAGACTCAGATTCAGACTCAGGTTCAGACTCAGATTCAGACTCAGATTCAGACTCAGATTCAGACTCATGCAGCCAGGATTCATTCTTCTAAACAAAAAACCCAAACGAAACACCGTCTTGTCAGAAACATGTGGTCTACATAGTGAGAGCTGATTGGCCGCTGAAAGGTGGTCCTCTTTTTCATGTTTCTGTGGAAAAGCCTGAAACATGTGACAGACAAACATTCAGTACATGTGGAGACTAAAGACAGAACCAAACAATTATATTTATAGAGCCCTTTACAAAACTCCAGCCCACATTAAAGACATTCATGCAAACAAACAGTAAAACAGTTATTAGTTAGTTAGCAAAAAAATAAGTGTTAAAAGTGTTAAAAGTCAGTTTGAATAAATGAGTTTTGAGCCAGGATTTAAAAAGGCCAGTCTCAGTGAGGACCGGTCTCTCAGGTCTGGGTCCAGGACTAACCCTGATGTAAGTGAGGGACTAGTTTACGTTTTTTTTAGTGGTTTCAAGGTCAGGTTCCCGAGCTTTAAATGAAAAACAATAAATAAATGATTCCTAATTTCCAGTAAAGTGACCTTTGATTGAGCTGCTGGAGTTATGTGGAGAGGCAGATCTGAGTCTGGTCCGAGTCTGGTCCGAGTCTGGTCCGAGTCTGGTCCGAGTCTGATCCGAGTCTGGTCCGAGTCTGATCCGAGTCTGATCCGAGTCTGGTCCGAGTCTGGTCCGAGTCTGGTCCGAGTCTGGTCCGAGTCTGGTCCGAGTCTGGTCCGAGTCTGGTCCGAGTCTGGTCCGAGCCTGGTCCGAGTCTGGTCCGAGTCTGATCCGAGTCTGGTCCGAGTCTGGTCCGAGTCTGGTCCGAGTCTGATCCGAGTCTGGTCCGAGTCTGGTCCGAGTCTGGTCCGAGTCTGGTCCGAGTCTGGTCCGAGTCTGATCCGAGTCTGGTCCGAGTCTGGTCCGAGTCTGGTCCGAGCCTGGTCCGAGCCTGGTCCGAGCCTGGTCCGAGCCTGGTCCGAGCCTGGTCCGAGTCTGGTCCGAGTCTGGTCCGAGCCTGGTCCAAGTCTTATCCGAGTCTGATCCGAGCCTGGTCCGAGCTTGATCCGAGCCTGGTCCGAGTCTGGTCCGAGTCTGGTCCGAGCCTGGTCCGTGAGTCCCAGGAGCAGTACCTGTGCTTCCTGTTGCTGCACATGTTAGTTCAGGACTCACAGTATCAAAGGGACTTAAAGCTGGGGGACCTAACTTAAGGACCCTCTCTCTCTGAACATGTCCTAATCTTCTTCATAATTATAAGTAAGAGCGTCGTGAGTCACTATTGGACGGTTTGGGGTGAGAGCTGATTGGCCGAGAGAAGGCGGTCCTCTCTTTATCCATTTTTCAATTCCATTTAGTTTATTTTATGTTTGTGTGGCTCTAAATCACAACAGTCGAGAAGAACAGAGAGACTTTGGTCCAAATGGAGCAGGATGAATAAATGTGGATAATCAGGTCCTGACTAAGGGGCCGCTCCAAAACCCAGCGGGACCAAAGAGAAACCTCTGAGGGTCCACATTAAGAGAAAGATCCGCTCAAAGTTCAGACCTCAGCGCTTGGAGATTTAGTTTGCAGACTCTGGATCCTGACTCTGGATCCTGACTCTGGATCCTGACTCTGGATCCTGACTCTGGATCCTGACTCTGGATCCTGACTCTGGATCCTGGCTCTGGATCCTGACTCTGGACCCTGACTCTGGACCCTGACTCTGGACCCTGACTCTGGATCCTGACTCTGGACCCTGACTCTGGACCCTGACTCTGGACCCTGACTCTGGATCCTGACTCTGGACCCTGACTCTGGACCCTGACTCTGGACCCTGACTCTGGATCCTGACTCTGGATCCTGACTCTGGATCCTGACTCTGGATCCTGACTCTGGACCCTGACTCTGGACCCTGACTCTGGACCCTGACTCTGGACCCTGACTCTGGATCCTGACTCTGGATCCTGACTCTGGACCCTGACTCTGGATCCTGACTCTGGACCCTGACTCTGAAGACCGCGGCTGAAGAGGAGGATGGGAGGTTCCCAACATGAGGTCCCAGAGCTGTGTGTAAGTTTAATGAAATAAAAGCTCGTCACATTTACTCTTCACAGGTTCATCTGTGGGAAACAAACCTGATTCTAAACTTCCTGTGGACATTCTTCTGGAAATGTCTGGGTTAGATTCTGACATTTCTCGAAACTCATCACATTTTAACTTGTAAAAAGTAAAAGTACCACAGTGGCCCAGGACGCTGGGGCTGAGGCTTTAGGACCGGTCTTGGACTGGTCTTGGACCGGTCTTGGACCGGTCTTGGACTGGTCTTGGACTGGTCTTGGACTGGTCTTGGACTGGTCTTGGACCGGTCTTGGACTGGTCTTGGACTGGTCTTGGACTGGTCTTGGACCGATCTTGGACTGGTCTTGGACCGGTCTTGGACTGGTCTTGGACTGGTCTTGGACTGGTCTTGGACTGGTCTTGGACTGGTCTTGGACTGGTCTTGGACTGGTCTTGGACTGGTCTTGGACCGGTCTTGGACTGGTCTTGGACTGGTCTTGGACCGGTCTTGGACTGTGGGGTGATGGGTTTGACCCTTCCCTTCCCCTGCTCCCTGCTGCTTCCTTCCTGAAGCCGATACATTTACATTTACACAAGTCCAGCTTCAATATCCACAGAAGTTTTATAGCAACAATATCTCGTTAGGAATCGTTTGGTTAATCTCATGATGGTCTAAACTCTCAAGTATTTTACACTTTCATAATCTATCCACAGACACTCACAGGATCATGTTTGGATCTATCCACAGACACAGGATCATGTTTGGATCTATCCACAGACACAGGATCATGTTTGGATCTATCCACAGACACAGGATCATGTTTGGGTCTATCCACAGACACAGGATCATGTTTGGATCTATCCACAGACACAGGATCATGTTTGGGTCTATCCACAGACACAGGATCATGTTTGGGTCTATCCACAGACACAGGATCATGTTTGGATCTATCCACAGACACAGGATCATGTTTGGATCTATCCACAGACACAGGATCATGTTTGGATCTATCCACAGACACAGGATCATGTTTGGATCTATCCACAGACACAGGATCATGTTTGGATCTATCCACAGACACAGGATCATGTTTGGATCTATCCACAGACACAGGATCATGTTTGGGTCTATCCACAGACACAGGATCATGTTTGGATCTATCCACAGACACAGGATCATGTTTGGATCTATCCACAGACACTCACAGGATCATGTTTGGGTCTATCCACAGACACAGGATCATGTTTGGGGCCACAGCTTCCTGCTCGAGTCTGTTTTAGTGGCATCAAAAACATGAACAAACAAAGATCACGATAAGAACCTTATCGTTCCATAATTGTGTGATCGCTGCTTAGTCTGAGAACTGAAAACACATTTGTCCCATTTAACAACAACAACCACAGCCTCAGTGCTTCCAAACGTCTTCATGATGAAGAAACATATTTTGTGCATGAAGTCAGTAATACTTGTGGGACACACATGTGCAGCCTCCAGCTGCTGCTGTCTGAGCCACATACCTCTGCACTGAGCTCATCTCCAGTTGTTCAGCAGTTTGTTCTACTCTCTGCTCTTATTCAATGGAAAGTAAAAGTATAGTTACTTCACATCTGTCCTGGATGTGGATGTTTTTCTATTTTGTCTTTATCCTTAAGTTTAAGGCTGTACTTTCTATTGTCTCACTGAACACATGCAAAACCAGATGTCATTAGTTGTGTAGCTTAGAAACATACTAAGTGTACACTACACAGTTATGTGTAGCCTTTAGCAACAAAGTTAACTTAGAACACACTTTCATTATCTTAACTCATGCTGTTACAGATAAATGACTTTATGAACGAGCTCAACAAATACTTTTTTTTTTAAATGTATCTTTTTGAACAAGCAGAAAGTGGACGCCTTACCAGCACAGAATCTGTCCAAACATAAGTCCTTCAGTGATGATTCCGTTGGCTTTAGGAGAGAGAGTGAGAGGCAGAGAGGAAGTGTGCGGCTCAGAGTCACAGAGGCAGGGGAGGCTCCAACTGCTGTGGGACTCAGGGGTCTCAGACTTCACCCTACAACATACCCACAGGTCTTTGTGTATAAAGAAAACAGAATTAAGATAAGATAAGAGATCCTTTATTCGTTCCCACAGTGGGGAAGTTACTAATTAATGAATAATTATTTGATGGATTATATGTTTACTCTGTTTATCAATGACCCAATCTGCAGTCAACACTGCCCTTGGTGGTGGACTAACCTGAATGATTGATGATCAGAGAAGATGATCATAGACTACTGTAGTAAAGCATGCAGGTGAGCGCGCCCCCTGCTGGCCGCTTCCGGGCCTACAGAGGCTGTAACCATGGTGACCGCTGCTCCTCAGGGAATGAATGCACCAACTTTAGCTTTAACGTCATAAACTTCGGTGTAATTAGTCTCTTTTCAGGTGAGTTCGTCAACTCCGGCGTTCAGTAGCAATATTGAAGGCTGTTAAATCAAACAAAACCTGGTCTTACATAAACTGTAGCGTTACTCTAGTTTAAGCTAGCTAACAGCCTAACAGTCTAAAGTTTACATAAAGATGGAAATCAGAATAACAATGATAACAACAGACATTTAATGTCACAGACTTCAGTTTCTGGGTGTGTACCACAGACTGTAAATATTTATGTATTACACAGGATGTTAAAGAAACATGTGTGGATTAAGACAGTGAGCGATACCGTGAGCGTCCACCAGGGGGAGGCCCTGAGCTGCACCATCCTCCTGCTGAAGACATACGGGCCCACGGCCTTCCTGCTCCGAGAGGAAGGGCTGGACCATGGATGTATTATATTAACTGGATAGGGTTTTACAGCTTGTAGCTGAATAACTCACGTGCTCAGGGGATTCTCGCGGTACTGCAGACTGAACCAGACTAAATTCACGTGGGCCACCCAGAAATTTTCCCCATAGAACTCAATGCATATTAAAACAGCTCAACCTCAGCTGACAGAGAACCTACAGCTTTAATAAAGATCGGATTTTGTGGGGATTTTAGTGTCCCTTGTCGTCCTGAACTTTTTTTCTTCTTAAATCCTTCGGTTTTGTTTAAATCCACACTTTAGTGCCACAAACTCTGCTCCTCTGGCTCTCGCTCTAACTCCCGCTCTGATGAACTGCTCTGATTGGTCAGAGCGCGGCCGAGCCCCTCTGTGCACGTGCGTGAGACCCGGTGTGAGACCCACACACGCGTGTTTGGCGCAACGCATTATGGGAGATCATCCACTGCGCAGAACCGGGAGGACCAGACGATGCCCAAATACAGGCGAGTTTCCCATAGATCTTTGCGAGTTTCAGGCAACTTCCGCTAATCTTTCAGCCCCCATGCTGTCACAAAGCGCCACTGAGCACAACCATTCATTTGAATAGGGCGCCATCTTGGATCGCCGGGGCTTGGGCTGGACACCGACGTCAAGGTACTGCACGGTACAAGGTACTGCACGGTACAAGGTACTGCACGATACTGCACGGTACTACAAGGTACTGCACAGTAATGCAGAGGACTTCAAGGTACTACAAGGTACTGCACAGTACTGCAGAGTACTGCTCAGTACTGCACGGTACTCTAGTACTTTTATAACCTCTAGTTCTTGTGATTTGGTCAATCCTCAGGTGTTCCTGGGTCACACACACTCCTGCACATGCGCAGTCTTTCTGAGGGAGCGGGAGCCCTGCAAACACATCTGCTGGTACAACTCATATTTAATTACTCGTTTTTGTCCCAACATTCTGTGATTATGTTTTAATTTTCTAGGGTCTTACTGAAGAAATTCCGGATTCCTAAAGAGCATGAATGTAAGCCAACACTTCATACAATGTTTCTAAGAGTTTTCTCACGTTTGTCTCAACTGAACTTCCTCATTTCAACAGTTTGCAATCAAATAAAAAGGATAAAATAATTAATAAGTTATTATAACTTCTGCTCCTTCAACATGAGAACACTGTGATATAACTGTTCTATTTTAAGACAGTAAATTGTGATACACATTATTACATTTTTATTCCAGTAACTAGTAAAATGAATACACATTTTAGAGTAACTTACCCAATACTACAAACCAGCCACACTAGCATTAAGCTAGCACCTTAAATATGATATATTGTTGATGTAGTGACTTTATCAATCAGACGGTGGTGGTTTCTTTGAAGCAGATAGTTTCCAGTGTGGTCTGAGCGATAGGCAGATCTCAGAGGTCCTTTATGGCTCACATCAGCCTCCACAGTCCAGTGCCCCCTCGGCCCCCAGAGCCTCTGGATCCTCTGAAGCCTCTGAAGACCTGACACTGGGCAGGCCTGGAGAGGTGCTCCAGAGGGACATCCAGGCCCAGGACGTGTGCCCCATCTGCCAGGAGGAGCTGCTGGAGAGAAAGCAGCCTGTAGCCTTCTGCAGGTACAGTTTTAGTTAGTTTTACTTAACTGTGTTAACAAAACAACACACGCAGTGGGACCAATCAAAGAAATCCTTGTGGACCTGCAAAAGAAGCTGAAACAATCATCTAATGCCCTGTTGTATGTTTAAGGGCCCAGCGTTCCCCAGTGGGAGGCTCAGGCTCATCTCTACATCCGTCTCTTCAGGTTTGGTTGTGGTAATAACGTGCACATCTCGTGCATGCGTGTGTGGGCGGAGCATCGACAGCGCTCAGACTCAGAGATGGTGCCGTGTCCGCTGTGCAGAGAGGACTTCTGCTCCGGCCAGTCTCTGAGGGAGCAGGTGATGAACTCCAGCTGGCTCCACACAGCAGCAGAGAGAGAGAGGCCGGACAAGCACCTCGGAGTGTCCTGTGGCAACTGCGGTGTCAGCCCCGTCTCCGGGAAGTGCTTCAGGTAACACATTAGGAACATTAATGATTTAAGGAAACAAAAACTGGGTTTAACTGTTTATACACTTCCTCTGTCACTGTCTCAGATGTACAGTCTGCACTTTTCTATATTTCTGTGAGATCTGCTCAGGGAGAAACTGCCATCCCCATCATCCCTTATCTGTCCGATTGGTAAGCTCCGAATCTCTACTCAACTAAAGCTTTGTTTATTAAGATTTCCATGTTCTCTGAGACACTTGCACTACCTTCTATCTGAAGAATCCCAACACTGGGGGAGAGCCAAGAGCACGTGTCAATATGTCTTTGTTATGTTTTAATAGACTAGAAAAAAGGAGTGGTGTCTCGTGTCCAAAGAATCAGGCGATGGTTCAACTAAAAATGACCAGTAAGTACAACATCCTGTCCATGAATCCCTAAATCCTCCACCTTCACCTGTAGTGCTCATCCTGCAGGAGTCTCCCCGTGGTCTCAGCACCTCTTCCAGACCGAGTGCTGGCTCAGGTGCCCACGGTGCAGGTTCGAGCGGGCTCTCAGCTGCTGCAGGACGGGATGCAGTGTCGCCTGTGTCTGCACGGCTTCAGCCTGGGACAGAGGCTCCGAGCCCTGCCCTGCCGCCACAAGGTCTCTCTCACACTCAGATCATTCATTTTCATTTGTAAAGGTAGGGCCCTAACCTTCTCCTCGTCCAGTTCCATGCTCGGTGTGTGGACGCGATCCTACGAACAACCAACTCCTGCCCTCTGGATGGGTTTGTCATCTGTAACCCAGAACCAGAGAGAGCCTGTGGCAGAACAAGCCTCAGTACCAGATATCCTACTTTCCAACGCAGCGGTACCAACGTCCAGGACCTGTTTGTGCCTGGAGTGGCTCTACTGGAGGAGAAACATCAGCTCGAGGTGCCTACAAACAACTCACATCTCACCAGCCTGGACTCAAACACATCTAATCCATCTAATGCTAACAGTCAAAAGTGCGTGAAAAAGGTCGTCCCCACAGGAGCCCAAAGCCCCAAACGGAGGCATCTGTGTCCAGGAAGGCGAGAGTCCAGGCCAGTGTTAGAACTGCACCCAGCGCGCTCTGACTGAGGCCTGCTGCTAGAGGCCGGAGTGGTTTGGGTCTGGTGCAAGTGTCTCTGAGTGAACCAGAAAAACAAAACTCTGCCGTCACCGCTTCTAGCTGTGGCTCGTTTGGTCTCAGCAGCACATGTTAGCCCCACAGCACTGGATATCACTGTCATATCTTTACAAAACCTGCGAACAACACTCCTGACGGGGATCATGTGGTGACTATGAATAAAAGCATGTTGTCATTCTCTATGTTTGAAATGTCTGTAGTTTGATACTATACACGGCCATAAACTTATACACGGCCTCCTCATCGAGCAACTCCACGCTGACTCAAATACACAGATGCAGTTTTTATTAATGTAGCGCACAAAAGGCGAGACTAAGAACACTACTATTACAGCGGCTGAATGCACACACTTTGTAAAGTTCACATCATTAAAGACACACACAGTAAATGAATACAAATACATTCGATTAAGTCACTCCAACAAATGAGTGACTTTGAAATGATCCGTTAAACTTAAGCTAAACATTGTGCTACATGATTCTTCTTTGTGTTGCGTGTCTGGATCGCGGGGCTCGTGGCTGTTCTTTTCAGCCGGATCACGTCAATGGAACAGCAATGGACAAAAGAAAATGTAATTCAAAGTACAAAACCGCTCTTAATGACATCAAACAGACAAATACAAAATCAGTAGCAAGATACAAGAAGCTAACGCAGGTACAGGGAGTACCTCCATGGAAGACGATCGCTCCAACACTTGCTCTGGCTTTAAAAATAGTTATAAAAAATACAGCATGCAGGCCGATCTGTAAGCACGGCTGTGGATCTTATCTCTCTGTTTCAAACAAATGGAAAGTAAATAAATACATAAATGAACCTTTTAGTGATTTCAGATATTATTATTATTGTTATAGTCCTCTCTCCTCTCAGATAAAGGACTTTTAAAATCAATAACGGAAAGAAAAAAGGGTGGAAACATTGGTGGAAGCCAGGTCGCTGTATAGAAAGTGTCCTGGATATTGGCGCCAAAAAGAGTTATCAAAGAAATTAATATTTTTGGAAAGCACGTTGTTCCTAAAGCTGCTTCTGTGGCTCCAGTTTTCAGTTTTCAGAATGTGCTGTTTGTTGGTCTCCACTTGGCCTTACATTTGCAGAACCTGCTTGGTCCTGGTTCTGTCCAGGCCGAGCTGCTATTTAAGTGTTCTGACTGACTGTAATCGGGCAGAGTGCTGCTGGGAGCCGTGGTTACCAAGGAATTTCCACGAAATTTCCAGCAGGGCGTGAGGGGCCCTGCTGGTGGAGCAGGGCATGAGGGGCCCTGCTGGTGGAGCAGGGCGTGAGGGGCAGGTCGCAGGAAACAATATTTAGCTTCCATCATATTTGGGGTCGATTCCCAAAACCATCGATCCCAGAAGCAACGGTCAGACTGGACCTGAGCTGACTCGAGGAGACAATCGGCAGTGTTGAGTCATTTTGTATTTTATAAGATATTCCAAATATTCACTACTCTAAGTCTTAGTATTAAAACTACCCTCTAAACATACAAAGTCAAGATAGTTTTTACTTCCACAACCAACAAGAATGTGGCGTTAGGCTCCAAGGCACCGAGACTGAAAACACGAGGCATTGTCTGAAATGATTACGGCATAAAAGAATTGTATAAGAAGTTTTAGGAGCCTCAGTTTTCTAACTCGAGTTTAATTCTTGATGAGCTGCTGCTTCTTTACATGGGTTAGTGTAATGTTTATTACACTCGTCGTGGAATCTATGAAAGAAAACAGGAATCATGTTTAACACATTCACTTCCCTTTTAAAAACAAACAGTAAAAGTCCAGAGGTGGGATAAATACGCTCAGGCCAGAAATAAAACACTTCATTAGACTTGTGGAAAGCAGAAGGAGGAGCACAGGTGTCATGGTGTCAGCTCAGAAAGGCTTTAGGCGCCGTGGGGCAGGCAAATGTGGCAAAGATAAGTGCACTACACAGTGGCCCCGCTGCAGCCCCTTCAGGAGGCCGTCACCCCCTGGTTTGGGGACAGCAACCATGTGTCGGGGACGCTGGTGCAACCATGTGTCGGGGACGCTGGTGCAACCATGTGTCGGGGACGCTGGTGCACACACACTCAGATGTAAGTATTCTGCTCTGCCTCAGCATTCTTTGGCCAAGAAGTCAGGAGTCCTTTCACCATGACTTCTTCTTCGCCTCTGTCTCTTCGTTGTCGTTTTGGGATCCTTCAGTGAGATTATTTAGAAGTATCATTAAACCAGAGGAAAGAGTTTTAAGTCAGAGAGTCCTAACTGCGTTTGTTCAGGGCCCGTGCTTCGCGGACGTGCTTGGCCGCTCTCCTGTCGCTCTTGCTCTTGTCCCGGACCTTCCTGAGGCGGCGTGGAGGCGGGGTCCCCCTGGACTCACTGTCCTCCTGAGCGCTGGACGTGTCCATCCCGTCCCTCTCCTCGGGGATGTTAGTGATGCTGCTGCCGTCCAGAATGTTCCTGAGGGAGGAGTCCTCGGGGGTGCAGGTGGTGGTGGTGCCGCTCTCACTGCTGCTCAGGTCCTGCTCGTCCCCGTAACGACCACGCCCCAAGTGGGACAGGGACGAGGCTTTGACCGAAGGCCGGTGCTGGGGCTCGTTCATGTCCACGCCAGAGTCCAGGCTGGTGTCGTTACTGCTGGGGGGGCGGGTTCTGTTCTGCAGCTCGATGATGGAGTGACGCACCGTTGCAGCGGGTCGACCGTCCAGAGACACGAACCAAGCCCTGGGGAGAGGCACCGATGTCTTGCCCCGGGTCAACTCCAGGAGGGTTCTCTCTGAGATCCCCTGCAGTTCACTGTGGCCCCCCGGCCCCCCACCAAAGGCCTCGTTCAGAGTCCCAGGCACCGACACTGAGGATTCCAGCAGATTGCTGTAACGGCTCCACAGAGCATTCACATTTGGGCCAGAGCCTGACACAGGAACCTCCAGAGGCTGGGGGTCATCCTGGCTGCCCTGTTGGGGGCTGCCCCCTCCCTTGGGCAGGGTCTGGGCATTGCCCTTGCTCTCTGCCTCATCCAGTCCGTTGCGTGGGAACGTGGCGGCCTTCATGTCCTGAGCACTGAACAGCTCTGAGGCCTGGATAATGGCCACGGGCTGGTTGTACAGGTGCACCAGTTTATCAGGGAAGAAGTCCTCCGTGTTCATGTTGGCCCGGTTCTGCTCGGCCTTGTCCCGGAGCCGTGCGACCTCCTCACTGTTGATGTAGTGGTGCTGCGAGGGCTTGATGTTCTCGTACAGGGCGTTCCCAGAGAGGCCGTGGGGCTCCTCCACATAGATGTTGTAGTTAACCTTATGCCTTGGAGTGCTGGAGGGGTCGCAGGACAGCAGACCCTCCTCCAGGTGAGTGGATGTGGTCTGATCCTTCTTCCCCACACTCAGTTTGGAGAAGCGGGCTCTCCGCCGATGTGCTCTGTTGGACCCTCTGGAACACAAACAAAACATCAATTATTCCACGAAAGAGTATTATAATAAAATGGATATTTTGCCTCCCAGTCTCACCGGCAGTAACAGAGTAGCACAGACAGAAAGCCAACCACTATGGCCAGGGTTCCAGCGAGTATTCCCATCAGAAGATATGTGTGCTGGGAAAGGAAGTCCAGGGAGCTGCTGAATCCAATGTATTCTACACAGAAATCCACATGTTAAAACATTGTTCACATTTTGAACTATCAAACAACTGCCAAAGAACAAACAACCATGTGTAAATGTGTCCGCACCATGAGAGGAGGGCAGAGGGGCAGCCAGCCAGTATCCCAGATGGGACGCTGTGTAGGTCCAGACCAGCTCAGAGCCAATGCGCTTCACGATCCCCAGACCTTGGTTCTCCCAGGCCCCTGTACATAACGTAGATAGAACCACTCAAACAATCTGCAGGTGATAATTTCACTGACTGAGGTCGACTGTCTCACCGGCCTGACTGTTGAAGGCCCAAGCTGGGACAGTGTCTGCGGGCCTGAGGCGTGTGTTGGACCTCAGGGGCAGGCTGATGTGGACGGGCCCTCTGATCTGGAGCTGCTCCTCCCCAGAGTACAGCAGCACACTGACCGCTGCCACTGGCCTCAGGTCCAGGCTGCGCACGGCTGGCACAGGAGCATTTATTATAATCCAACATCTAATGTATATGTTAATATATATATATATATCATTATTATTATTATTTTATTATTATTATTAGTCAATCCTGTATCAACATTTACCTGATTTACTGCTTATGATGCCTGGGGTGCAGTTGCCGCAGTCCTTGGCCAGAGGGCGCTGTGGGACTGTCAGGTATGCAGCCACTGAGGAGACGTTGGTGCTGTCAGAGATGGGGAGGAGGTTTTTGGGGAACTTAACCCTCGGCTGTGACGAGCTGTCTGCGCACCAAAACAAAGAAGACGTATAATGGTTATTCTGAGTAATATTGAACACTTTGTTACTATTGGATTAATTCTATTGTATTTCAATTGTATTTAAATGTTAGTTCAATGTTATAGTACTTTCAATACTGTCAGCGCTCTTACCCGGTAACTTCCCAGTGATGAGAACTGAATCTTCATACAGCCAGATGTTTCCTTGGCTTTGAGGCATCAGGGCCAACGTCACTGCAGTGAACACTGATACAAAGGGAAAAGAATCACTTTAGGCTGATCCCATTTGGTCAGAACTTCAGTGGTTAAATTTCATAAATGATCTGTGTTTTTATGGCCCTGCACTGCAGTGAGTGATGCTACCAGCAGGGGGCACTATCACCAAACCATGCACCTCTATTGTCACTGCTCACGTGGCACAAAGGATTCTACATTTGACTTTTATTCCTCACATTGTAATGACCTCCAACTGTCACTTCCTCCCACACTGAACCCACAGACTGAGATTTAGAGGGGACGGGACAATAGACCCTGGACCCAGCGTTGCCCCTGGTTACAGAGGGCCCCACCCCCACACGTCCCAGGACAAAGAGAAATAAAGGGAAGATGGATATTATTGAAGATAATAACTTGACTTCCTGTACATTTGTAGCTTGTTTTAGAAGCGTCCACAGAGGCTGACAGGAGGCGTCTCAGACAGATGTGAATAATTCATCTTCATGAATAATGTACGAAGCTCAAACTGTTACAGGAGCTCATTGTGTCACGTTTTAACGATCCCAGACTTCCGACTGGCCTGAGACAAACCTAATGTTTACAGTGTCTTTGACAGCACAGATGCTGCTCACATGTATTGAACCCACAGAGATGGATCTATGTGTGTTTTTATGTGCACTGAAGTAAACATGTTTATACCTGACGCTGATATGTACGGACCCTACTGTTGTCTCCTTCTGCTAACACTAAGTATCCTGTAGGCGGAGGTTTTAATCCTGGTTCTTTGCACAAACTTCTCCACACTAATCTTTTAAATGCAGTAAACTAAAGTAAATAAAACAGTAAAAGTAAATAGTTTATAAACGTACACGGCCGGCGGGCGGGGCTCCAGGGCAGAGGCAGGGGCAGGTAGCCCTCCATGCGTCCCACCAGAGTCAGGCTCTCTGCAGGGCTGTAGCTGACCCACAGAAGGACATCTCCTCTGGGGCCCGTCAGCACCGAGCTCCTGAGGCTGTGGTTCACGTACAAGTCCAGGGAGGCCCCTGACAGAGGGGCCCGGGACACACTGTCTCTCAGCAGGACTCGCAGGATGAAGGGAGGCTCTGCACACGGGACAAGAGCAGAACATGTTTATTGGACCCAAACAAAGAAGAGATTATACAAACATTACTTTGTTATTGCACTGTTCAAAAGGCCAGGACTATATCGAGTTCAATTTAAAGTCAATTCTCTACTTTACAGTCAAGAACTGATGCTTTGACATTTTACTATAAACATACAGATAATCCTGATTCACTGGATTAAAAACATATCTTTATTTAGAGGAGAGCAGGTCCTGAGTGCACAGTGAGGGCCCTGCACAGTGAGGGCCCTGCACAGTGAGGGCCCTGCACAGTGAGGGCCGTGCACAGTGAGGGCCGTGACAGTGAGGGCCGTGACAGTGAGGGCCCTGCACAGTGAGGGCCGTGACAGTGAGGGCTGTGACAGTGAGGGCCCTGCACAGTGAGGGCCGTGACAGTGAGGGCCGTGACAGTGAGGGCCGTGACAGTGAGGGCCCTGCACAGTGAGGGCCCTGCACAGTGAGGGCCGTGACAGTGAGGGCTGTGACAGTGAGGGCCCTGCACAGTGAGGGCCGTGACAGTGAGGGCTGTGGACAGTGAGGGCCCTGCACAGTGAGGGCCGTGCACAGTGAGGGCCCTGCACAGTGAGGGCCGTGACAGTGAGGGCCGAGACAGTGAGGGCCCTGCACAGTGAGGGCCGTGACAGTGAGGGCCGAGACAGTGAGGGCCCTGCACAGTGAGGGCCGTGACAGTGAGGGCCGTGACAGTGAGGGCCCTGCACAGTGAGGGCCGTGCACAGTGAGGGCCGTGACAGTGAGGGCCCTGCACAGTGAGGGCCGTGACAGTGAGGGCCCTGCACAGTGAGGGCCGTGACAGTGAGGGCCGTGACAGTGAGGGCCCTGCACAGTGAGGGCCGTGCACAGTGAGGGCCGTGACAGTGAGGGCCCTGCACAGTGAGGGCCCTGCACAGTGAGGGCCGTGACAGTGAGGGCCGTGACAGTGAGGGCCCTGCACAGTGAGGGCCCTGCACAGTGAGGGCCCTGCACAGTGAGGGCCGTGACAGTGAGGGCCCTGCACAGTGAGGGCCGTGACAGTGAGGGCCCTGCACAGTGAGGGCCGTGACAGTAGAGTCTGCAGAATCCCTCAAATATTGCTGAGCACAGACTTTTCATCTTTATGGAACCATAAATAATTCTCTTTGTTCCAAACGCAGTTTCAGTCCTCAACCTCTGTCTTGTTCTAAAATACCTGTCCCTCTCTCAGGGGCCCAACTCTCTTCTCCCTCATTTACAAAACTTATTTGATGCTAGAGATGTTCGTAATGACCATTAAAGGGAAAGTTATCAAATATATGAAACATGTTCAATTATGATTCAATTCAATGCTTGTTTCGCAACTACTTTAGTTTCTTGTTTGTATCATGCTCTGCATAAAACACATATAAGTTTGACTTAAATGCATGGCTCATTAGTATAGATATATATATCTATCTATATATAAATAGATATATGTAATGTATATGGGAAATATAGCCAAAACACTTATTCAAAGTTTTTGTGTTTGTGCATATTCTTGTTTTGAATTGTTGTGATTGGTTGTATCCGCCTCAGATCCATCACATGTTGGAGACCAATCAGAGCAGTGTCTGAGGAAATGTGTTTTGGTCAAATGAAGAACCAAACAGTCTCAGGGTTTGCTTCAGTTGAATGTGACCGCAGCCTCGCTCCTGACCTCTGCTCCTGACCTCTGCTCCTGACCTCTGCTCCTGACCTCTGCTCCTGACCTCTGCTCCTGACCTCTGCTCCTGACCTCTGCTCCTGACCTCTGCTCCTGACCACTGCTCCTGACCACTGCTCCTGACCTCTGCTCCTGACCTGCTCCTGACCTCTGCTCCTGACCTCTGCTCCTGACCTCTGCTCCTGACCTCTGCTCCTGACCTCTGCTCCTGACCACTGCTCCTGACCTCTGCTCAGAGCGTTTTCACTGCATCAGCACAAACCCTCATGTGGAGGAAGCACAGTTATTATGGATCTGATGCCGTCGCTGCCTTATCCTCTGCTCACTTCCAGCATCATTTAGACTAAAGCTTTAAAGTCATCAGACTGTTGTTACTGCAGAGCAAAGAGAAAAGGTTACAACAGATCCATCCTTTTAGATTTGTAAATGAGTAATCTTTATGTACTCAGTGCATTTGACAGACCAAGGTCACAAAGCACCTCACACTTTTGTTGTACCTGCAAGTTCCTTCAATTCTATTCAAATGTATTTTTAAAGTCCTAAATCACTTTGTTCATAGAGCGCCATGACGGAATAATAAGTGTCCTTAAATGTCCACATGATGAAGACAGAAGCGAGACGCCGGACACACCTCATTCATTGCATTCAGACTATACATGTGTTAAGTGGTAGGAGATACCGGAGCACCTGGAGGAAACCTACACTGGCTCCTCTTCTCGTCGAGAGGAGCCAGTTGAGGTGTCTCAGAGGTCTGGGACGTCCCCTGAACGCCTCCCTGGGAGACCAGGGGAGGACCCTCATGGACACGTTAGAGGGACTATGTCTCTCTGCTGGCCTTGGAAAACCTCCACATTCCCCCGGGATGAGCTAAAGTGTTTGGAAAGTGAAGTCTGAGTGTCTCTGCTCAGACAGCTGCCCGTGATCCGGCAATGGATACAGCGGAAGAAAATGGATAGACAAATAGATTAGAATGAATAATAGAATTTGAGAACATATTTGATAGTCTTATATCTCACAATGCTTTTCCCTGTGAATACAAACAGCAGCTCAGCCACTGAGCAGCAACAACAAAACAGAGCAAACATTACCAGGGCCAGGGTTCGAGTCCCTCACTCTTTGTCTCTTTCTGATAATTAAGCAATAATTCAGATTGATGGGGTCCTATGACATCACACCTGCGCCTCGTGAGTCAAAGTGACTCCCGTTCGCATCACCGCGTCCCCCCCAAACAAAGGCCTCGCTGCGCACTGGCCTTACCCGCTGACGACGCTTCTGTCGCAGCCGCGGAGAGCCCATCGTCCCCGGGAGAGGGCGACGCATCCGTGGCAGAGTCAGAGGCCCCGAGACCCCCGGGACCCCCCAGGCCCCAGAGCAGCAGCAGCAGTTGTGTGCGCACGAAGGGTACCAGCAGTGACGGCGGCATGGCGACATAACGACCCCCCGCGAACAGAGGCCGAGTGTGGGGTTGTTGTAGTCCCGAGGTCCGAGGGTTTAGATCCGGGAGTCTTTGTCAGCAGCAGCAGCTTCCATCCTCTGCGGATCTGGAGGTCCCAGGTCCCAGTGGTGCTGAGGCTGAGGCTGGGGCTGAGGCTGGGCGTGTGTGCACAGAGGGGCGTGTGGTGGAGGAGGTCTCACTCTGACTGTGACGAGGCTTCCGCAGGGTTCTGACGTGTTTCATATTTACAGTCTGTGGTTCTGACCTATGGTTCTGACGTGTTTCATATTTACAGTCTGTGGTTCTGACCTATGGTTCTGACGTGTTTCATATTTACAGTCTGTGGTTCTGACCTATGGTTCTGACGTGTTTCATATTTACAGTCTGTGGTTCTGACCTATGGTTCTGACGTGTTTCATATTTACAGTCTGTGGTTCTGAACTATGGTTCTGACGTGTTTCATATTTACAGTCTGTGGTTCTGAACTATGGTTCTGACGTGTTTCATATTTACAGTCTGTGGTTCTGACCTATGGTTCTGACGTGTTTCATATTTACAGTCTGTGGTTCTGAACTATGGTTCTGACGTGTTTCATATTTACAGTCTGTGGTTCTGACCTATGGTTCTGACGTGTTTCATATTTACAGTCTGTGGTTCTGACCTATGGTTCTGACGTGTTTCATATTTACAGTCTGTGGTTCTGACCTATGGTTCTGACGTGTTTCATATTTACAGTCTGTGGTTCTGACCTATGGTTTCTGACGTGTTTTCATATTTACAGTCTGTGGTTCTGACCTATGGTTCTGACGTGTTTCATATTTACAGTCTGTGGTTCTGAACTATGGTTCTGACGTGTTTCATATTTACAGTCTGTGGTTCTGACCTATGGTTCTGACGTGTTTCATATTTACAGTCTGTGGTTCTGACCTATGGTTCTGACGTGTTTCATATTTACAGTCTGTGGTTCTGACCTATGGTTCTGACGTGTTTCATATTTACAGTCTGTGGTTCTGACCTATGGTTCTGACGTGTTTCATATTTACAGTCTGTGGTTCTGAACTATGGTTCTGACGTGTTTCATATTTACAGTCTGTGGTTCTGACCTATGGTTCTGACGTGTTTCATATTTACAGTCTGTGGTTCTGACCTATGGTTCTGACGTGTTTCATATTTACAGTCTGTGGTTCTGACCTATGGTTCTGACGTGTTTCATATTTACAGTCTGTGGTTCTGACCTATGGTTCTGACGTGTTTCATATTTACTGTCTGTGGTTCTGACCTATGGTTCTGACGTGTTTCATATTTACAGTCTGTGGTTCTGAACTATGGTTCTGACGTGTTTCATATTTACAGTCTGTGGTTCTGACCTATGGTTCTGACGTGTTTCATATTTACAGTCTGTGGTTCTGAACTATGGTTCTGACGTGTTTCATATTTACAGTCTGTGGTTCTGACCTATGGTTCTGACGTGTTTCATATTTACAGTCTGTGGTTCTGACCTATGGTTCTGACGTGTTTCATATTTACAGTCTGTGGTTCTGACCTATGGTTCTGACGTGTTTCATATTTACAGTCTGTGGTATATGGTTCTGACGTGTTTCATATTTACAGTCTGTGGTATATGGTTCTGACGTGTTTCATATTTACAGTCTGTGGTATATGGTTCTGACGTGTTTCATATTTACAGTCTGTGGTTCTGACCTGATCTTTGTGTGGAAACATCCAGAGTCATATTCTGGTTTCTGATCTTACAGCACATGCTTTTTTGGTCGTTCATTTGTGAGGTGTAAAAAAATACTGTAGCAGCCTAACGTGTTGTGGATACACAATACAAACTACATACTGCCTTTATTTCATTATCATACACGTTATCTTTCATGTGTTTTATTTCAGAGTTTATTTATTTTGTGGTTTGTCAGGTACCCCAGCTCTGAATTATATTTTCTTATTTTACTGAACACGAACAAAAAAAAATTCTACCTCTGCCACAAATGCAAATAGTAATAATAAACAAAACATGACAACACTTTGAACAAACACGTTTAGCTCTTGGTAGATACTTGTAATGTGTCTGTACTGTCACTAATATCACACATGTGAGATGTAAATGTTCTTAGGCCAACATTGGAGTCTATGACGTTTTAGTTTATAATCATTTGGAGTTTTGGAGCGTGTCAATGATAAGAGCGCAGTGAAAGTGAGGAGTGAGACCTCTTGGCTGGAGTTGATCTTTGTTCAGTGGGAGACACCGTTACATCACTGCCTCACGGCCCCCCAGTGTACACCCAAAGACCCCCACCACCATTTCCTCTCCTTCATCATTCTTTGTATTGATTTCTCCTCTTCGTGCCAAAACAAAACAAAAACAAAGGTTCTTCAGGATCAAAGTGTGACGTAAATGTGAGGGACCACATTCAGACACACGCACGCATGCACGCACGCACACACGCACGCATGCACGCACGCACACACGCACAATACCTAACTTATACATTATATACACAATCATAAAAGAGACAAGAGCATTCTAACCTGACCAGCTTTGCACTATTATAAGGAAAGTGCCCAGAGCCTGTGGGACTGTGTCTGGGACGTCCCTCTGGGCACTTCTCAGGCCTCGCCACCAGATGGCACCACACACACATTTACTGTGAAATGACACAGAATAACGTTCACAGAGAGGCGAATCCAGAGCTCTGATTACAGACGCTGCTCCCTCTTCACCACAACGGTCTGATGCAGCTCTGACTGCAGACACTGCTCCCTCTTCACCACAACAGTGTGATGCAGCTCTGACTGCAGACGCTGCTCCCTCTTCACCACAACAGTGTGATGCAGCTCTGACTGCAGACGCTGCTCCCTCTTCACCACAACAGTCTGATACAGCTCTGACTGCAGACGCTGCTCCCTCTTCACCACAACAGTGTGATACAGCTCTGACTGCAGACGCTGCTCCCTCTTCACCACAACAGTATGATACAGCTCTGACTGCAGACACTGCTCCCTCTTCACCACAACAGTGTGATGCAGCTCTGACTGCAGACGCTGCTCCCTCTTCACCACAACAGTGTGATACAGCTCTGACTGCAGACGCTGCTCCCTCTTCACCACAACAGTATGATACAGCTCTGACTGCAGACGCTGCTCCCTCTTCACCACAACAGTGTGATGCAGCTCTGACTGCAGACGCTGCTCCCTCTTCACCACAACAGTCTGATACAGCTCTGACTGCAGACACTGCTCCCTCTTCACCACAACAGTGTGATGCAGCTCTGACTGCAGACGCTGCTCCCTCTTCACCACAACAGTGTGATACAGCTCTGACTGCAGACGCTGCTCCCTCTTCACCATTATAAATACAAACAATGATATTACAAAAAACACAAAAATGAACAATTCAATCATATATTTATTGAAAATATCATAAATACACATTTTTAAACAGGTTTTCCAAAATATCCGTCTACTTTCTACAATTTATTCTCCAAACAGTAGATGTTTCACCGGACAATAAAACACGTTTCCAAAATGTCCAATACAAATAAACGTAATAATATATAATACTGACCACACCCATAAAGTCTTCTTTATATTCTTTAATACTTTGATTCTAAGGCACTGGACGATGGTGGCTACTAAAGCTTTGTCAATATACCAATAAGAATGACTTATACAAGGAGAAGTAAATGTCTTTTTGGCAGATTCTAAACACCTCAAAGTTTACGATTTATTTGAGAAGCTGGACTTAAATGTTGAGTCTCCGTTTAAATGGCGTAGTCTCCGTAGCCGCTGGGACTGAAGGCGCTGCTGCGGAGACTGTCCAGGCAGTTGACCAGGATCAGGGTCCCGGTCAGGTGCCTCCATTTGCGGGTGATGGGGTTCCTCATCCGGTCCAGTCCCGCGTGGAGCTCCTGGATCACGTCTCTGTAGCTGTCGCCGATCTGAGCCGCCCACGTCAGCAGGAAGTCGTAGGCTGGCTTCCACATGGCCTGAGGGCAGAGGAGCTTGTTAATCTGCAGAGCTGGGATTTATTCACTTAACATTAAAAACAACAAAACAGCAAATCCTAAAGAGTAGAAAAACACTTATTGAATAGAGACTTAACACCTAACATGTAAACCACAAAACAATGGAACTGAATAATGATCTATCTAATTATAGTTTAACGCTCTATAAACATGTGCATGTTTTTCAGACAGATAAGTGAAAAAGAGAGGCCCACCCTCCATCAGCCAATCAGCTCTCTCCCAAAAGAGTCCAACAGTGACTCAAAGTATTCAAAAGATTCTCACAGAATTTGAATTTTAGAGTTGAAAAATGTTTCTTATACTGTTTCTAATACTGCTATTGCTACTACTAGTACTACTACTACTACATCTACTAGTAATACTGATATGATTACGTAACTACTACTTCTACAACTGCTGCTTTTCAATTACATTTTCAGCTCGAGACCTTTTTGTTTAGCTCTATAACAACAGAAGTTAACATTGAGGACTTTACAAAACTGCCAAATTCTCCAACACAGATCAGAGAAAAAGAGTTCATATAAAGTTAGAGACCCCAGCTTTAATTCCAGAGCTTTGAAGTGAAAGCGTGTGAGTGGAGTTTCCGATCTGAAGACGTTGGAACCTAGAGTTGTCAGTAAATACCTCGTTGTCCAGGAGGCCGTTCTTGTCGCGGTGCGGGGCCTCGTAAGCGTCCATCTGCTGCCTGGACACTCGGGCCAGTTTATCTGCCAGCTCCCTCCAGCGGCACGCCACCTCCACCGCCGTGGTCAGCAGCACGAAGTCCAGCACCAATCTGGCAACCAGGCCCTGGCAGTCCATCTTCAACAGGGCCTTGGATAGAAACAGTAATAATAATAATGTCAATATACTGTGTTTAAACAGGACTTTTATACGGATAGTGTTTAAACAGGACTTTTACACGGATAGTGTCTAAACAGGACTTTTATACAGATAGTGTCTAAACAGGACTTTTATACAGATAGTGTCTAAACAGGACTTTTATATACGGATAGTGTCTATACAGGACTTTTATATACGGATAGTGTCTAAGCAGGACTTTTATACGGATAGTGTCTAAACAGGACTTTTATACGGATAGTGTCTAAACAGGACTTTTATACGGATAGTGTCTAAACAGGACTTTTATACGGATAGTGTCTAAACAGGACTTTTATACGGATAGTGTCTATACAGGACTTTTATACGGATAGTGTCTAAACAGGACTTTTATACAGATAGTGTCTAAACAGGACTTTTATACAGATAGTGTCTAAACAGGACTTTTATATACGGATAGTGTCTATACAGGACTTTTATATACGGATAGTGTCTATACAGGACTTTTATACGGATAGTGTCTAAACAGGACTTTTATACGGATAGTGTCTAAACAGGACTTTTATATACGGATAGTGTCTATACAGGACTTTTATACGGATAGTGTCTAAACAGGACTTTTATACGGATAGTGTTTAAACAGGACTTTTATACAGATAGTGTCTAAACAGGACTTTTATACAGATAGTGTCTAAACAGGACTTTTATACGGATAGTGTCTATACAGGACTTTTATACGGATAGTGTTTAAACAGGACTTTTATATACAGATAGTGTCTAAACAGGACTTTTATACGGATAGTGTCTATACAGGACTTTTATACGGATAGTGTCTATACAGGACTTTTATACGGATAGTGTTTAAACAGGACTTTTATATACAGATAGTGTCTAAACAGGACTTTTATACGGATAGTGTCTAAGCAGAAGCCGTGTGACTTGGAGGGATCCTGACACCACATTCTCCATTACAATCCCTCATGTTTCATTCATCTATGGTTCTGATGGTCATTGATGAATCTTTTATACAGGCGTCTGTGCACGACAAGTAACAATATTAGCCATGTCATTGCCACTGCTACTGCTACTGTTGCTACTGCTACTACCACTGCTGCTACTGCTACTACCACTGCTGCTACTGCTGCTACTGCTACTACCACTGCTGCTACTGCTACTACCACTGCTGCTACTGCTACTACCACTGCTGCTACTGCTGCTACTGCTACTACCACTGCTGCTACTGCTGCTACTGCTACTACCACTGCTGCTACTGCTACTACCACTGCTGCTACTGCTGCTGCTGCTACTGCTGCTGCTGCTACTGCTACTGCTGCTACTGCTACTACCACTGCTGCTACTGCTACTACCACTCACGCTGCTACTGCTACTACCACTGCTGCTACTGCTGCTACTGCTGCTGCTGCTGCTGCTGCTACTGCTGCTACTGCTGCTGCTGCTACTGCTGCTACTGCTGCTACTGCTGCTGCTGCTACTGCTGCTACTGCTGCTACTGCTGCTGCTGCTACTGCTGCTACTGCTGCTACTGCTGCTACTGCTGCTACTGCTACTACCACTGCTGCTACTGCTGCTACTGCTACTACCACTGCTGCTACTGCTACTACTACTACTACTATTGTGCTTACAAATGCTGTTGTAGCTAGACTCCAAAAAGTGAAAGTGAAGACTAGAATGTCATAAGCGTTCAGTGAAACGTAGTGAGGCTGTTTCTAGTCATGATTGGGTCCAAGTTTCTTGACTGTCTCACAAATTGTGCTATGGGCTCCAAAGAGGGACAAAATAGTAGGAGTGAGAGTGGGCAGCCCTGACAGGATGGGTCCAAGCACAAAACAAATCGCACACAACGCTCCAGTGGTTCTCATGACTTTGGGGGAGTAAATCTGTGTTTTTCCCAGTTTGATCACATCTAAACCTAATGAATGAAAGAACTTGGTCTATGCTGCTGCTATGACACTGGAAACACATTTAAGAATCTATCATTGTTTTTGTTGTGTAAAAGGTAAAAGTGGGCTGATTAAAGTGTCTCAGCACTGTGGTGGAAGTGTCGTGCCCACAGACACAACAGCAGCACGCTGATCCAAGCAGGATTACAACCACTGCTTTGTGGTTGGTCTTATCTGCAAAGCACGAAACATTCTGTTATTTGTATTTTTCTACTTTGATCGTATCTTCAAAGTGAACATTGCATTCTTTCACTTGTTACATTTGCACAAACCCCTGACAGTGAGGAGACTATGCAACACTCTGACCTCCACCTGGTCACGGCTCATACTGGTCACGGCACTTAAAGATCAGCTGCAGCTCAGTTTTAACTTTAGAGAAAAGGTCATGGCCCAGTCCCACACAGACCAACCACACAGTGAGGTGAAAAACCAGATTTAGAATTCAACTTCTCCATCAAAAGTTCCATGGTCATGTACAATGCCTTGCCAGATTGACTCATACTCCATGTACTTTTCCACATTTTATTGGCCAGGCTTAAACATTCCTCTTTTATTCAGCATATGGAAGAATTAGAAATAGAAATATGCTGCATTTGGAGACACTTTGCTAGAGAGGTATGGTACCAGCACTATCCTCTCCTCCTACTATATCTGTACAGCCTCAGTCCTGGGTCTACAGCCTCAGTCCTGGGACTACAGCCTCAGTCCTGGGACTACAGCCTCAGTCCTGGGTCTACAGCCTCAGTCCTGGGTCTACAGTCTCAGTCCTAGTTCTACAGCCTCAGTCCTGGGTCTACAGCCTCAGTCCTAGTTCTACAGCCTCAGTCCTGGTTCTACAGCCTCAGTCCTGGGTCTACAGCCTCAGTCCTGGGTCTACAGCCTCAGTCCTAGATCTACAGCCTCAGTCCTCTATGAATTCCTCCGAGACGACTGCTGTTGTGATTTAGGGTTATTTAAAAACACACTGAATAGAAAAGTTGAGACTGGTGCATGGTTTAAACATTATCAGAAATATCAAATGCATTGACTACAGCCCGACAACAGTATCCACAAGTTTGAGAAAGATGAGAAAATGCACATATCTCAGAGTTGGAGCTTATTACTGCTCATGTCGCAGCCCGCTCTCGTCTCTACTCGACAGGCCGCACAAAGACGAGCAGTGATGTATGAAACAGTATTGTGTGCGATAAAGAGCAGTGTTGTGGCTGTAGGTGCGCTGTGCAGACGGAGACGACAGCTGAGGGGCTGTCACACTCACAGGCCTCTGTTCAAACACAACAGCAGGAGAAAGAGGCTCTGGAGACTGCACTCGTATGACGTCCCGCTCCGTGCACCACTAGCACTTATCTCACTCTGACATAATCTGCAGTGTGTGTAAGTATATGTGCTGAGGTCGGAGACCAGGAGTGAAAGGCTGTAAAATACTGCTCTGAGGACAGGACTGTGGTTATTTTTGTATTTGTTTTGAGAGTCAGCTCCAAACATATGACTGTGTTGTCAAAGGCTGCTTTACTATGGTGGAGGTGTAGGGTCGGAGAGTGTTTTTTTGGGCATGGGTCTTGTCTGAGTGAATGTCTGTTCGTCTCATCTGTGGTAGTATTTATTGATGTTGGAATATTCACACAAAGCACTTCAGAATTGCAGTGTATTTAGATCAGGGGTCTCTAACCATTTCCAGTCGACAAAGTGTTGCGCAACAATGGGAGAAGTAGTTTTTATTATTGTATCAAAACAATCAGCAAATGTATTGTTCTAAAAGCAAATCTAGTTGTAAGAAAAATAAGAGAAAAATGGGCGATTTATAACTTTTTGCTGTTATGTTGTGTTATCATGTAATCATTCTTGTATTTACTGCTACTTTCTCCTTTGAAGACGATGGCGAGCAACACGTTTGAGACCCCTGTTGTAGGTCCTGCAAAGACCAAAGCGGTTTCTCTCATATTTATGGTCTTTTCCTTGATTCCAGCTGAGAAAAGAAACCGAGCTCAGTGACTTCCCACTTCCTCTCGCCGTGTTTCTCTTTTTCACGCTCTATTATTTAAGCAACAGATACCCACAATTCCAAAGGTATCGGGCCTTTCCCATAGAGTTGCAGTAGTATTATTGTCCTGGTCAAATATCCAGGCCCCTCCCCCTCGGTGTCGGACCCCCTGCCTGGGCCCCTGCTCTCTCTTCGCTCTTGTGTGTCCAGTGGAAACCTGACCCTCGGCTTTAGAACCTCCAGGAAGGCGGTGTCGGGTGCCTGCAGGCGGCCAGCCCAACCTCCCCGGGTCTGCTCACCTCTCACATGGGAACACCACTTCAAAGGACACCCGTAAAACATACTCTGGACGAACATAAAAGCTCACACGACTATTTCAAACGGCGTAAAAATGTAACAGTCCTCCCCGTTATGTGAAGTCAAAATTATCTGTCAGTCTAATCTTTTCATGAAGTAAATGAGTGGAGCTGTGCACATGGATTGAACATATTATGTGTGTTGTGTTTGCATCAGGGAAAGTGTAAATCCCATAAAGCCTTGTGTAAGACGTAAACAAGCAGATTGAGACTAAAAGCACCTGGAGATTAATGTTGAGACAGAGAAGAATGAGTGCCTTGTCCGCAGTGGATTACACCTGCCAGTTTAAAAACTATTACATAATTGTGCTTTTGGTGAAGCTTGGGTCACTTACCGTGGCCTGTTACAACATGTCACAACTGTATAAGCCATTTGCCACTAAACTAAAAGACCCTGTATGGCCACAGATGACATGTCTCAAAGAGAAAATTAGGATCTGTCTGAAGCTTTACTCGGATAAATAACTCATAAAGTCTGGTGTTTTCTAATGGTAGGATGGCTGCATGGGGCCTCTTTAAGCTTTGGTATTTGGTCTACTTTTCCCCCATGTGAGGCTCTGGTGGTGTTCATGCTGAGCCACCTCAGGGTAAATCCAAGCTCACACATTCTCTGTGGATTTTTATACCGACTGAAGACACAATTATATGATCAGAATGGTTTCAAATATACCATGTTCTTGTGAGGAATTTATGTCCCCTAAAGAAACTGTGTGTATGTCTTCATTTGTTCATAATTGTTATTTTTTCATTACATCAGTTCATGAAAAAAATACATCCAAAGCATAAACTCAGACTGGGACACATGGTTCTTAAGGTCCACTTTCTGACTTTCCACAAAGAGTCCTCCGTCCCGAAACAAAGTTGTTTGGTTGATTTCTTTACAAATCCAGGTTTAAAATGTTGAATAACATGGCATAGTAGCCTTCTAACGTTTGACCATTAATGCTGTAATAATTAGATAATAATAGATAGATAGCGACTTAGATACTTTATTAATTTGAAGAGCCAATAAAAACGCTCTCAGATTTCTTCCATAATCATTCATAAATATTGGATCTATTTTTATTGCACAACTCACCATCATCAGCTCTCTCTGGAAGGACTTATTCTCCTTGACATCCATGTTGGTGCACTCTTCTTTTAGCTTCTCCAGAACAGATGCCACCTTCTCTGGCTCGCTGTCCAACTCAGTCCGACAGAAATAATGCAGTGGCAGGTTTCCATATCCCAGGGCGTCAGCAAAAGCCTTCCAATTGGCAACATTCTCCATCAAAACAGTCCTTACTGAAGCATATATGTACGTCAGGAACTTGCATGGTTTCAGGATTTGGTCCAGCAGCAGTGTGGTGGTTAAGTCTGGGCCGCTCCAGTGAATAGGCTTGACTTTTCCCAGGACTAGAACATTCTTTGCATGAACGAGACCAATCTTCCCTTGATAAAAGCCAATGTACCACTCCTTTGTTCGCATGTGTCCTTTAAGTTTGATTTTCTCCTCACTAAGCAACGCAACAATGTCTCCTTTTTTATATTCCAGTAAATATGTGCTCTTGTTCTGCCGCAAAACCGTCTTTATCAATTTCCCAAACTTCAGGTTGGTGATACAGCTATCTTGGAATTTTGGGAACTTTGAAGTTACGGCAAGAGGTGAAAGAACTATTTTATCCAACTCTTTTTTCTTCAAGAATCTCCGAGCAGCTGTGTTTTTGGATGCAGTGGTTGGCGGCGGTTGAGGGGTTTGTACACAATACTGGGTAAGGATACAGTCGAGGGCATCTTTCACCTGAACTCTCAGCGTGAAGTCGAAAACACTGCTGGGATCTAGAGCCGAGATCCTGTAGAGGAGCCGGGTCACTTTCCCAAGCTTAACCTGAAACCCTTGTATCATACCAGCACCTTCCGCTGACTTCACCTGGTAGTTGGACATGTTTGAATACAGACCGACTTTGAGGTCTTGGGGATACTCGAGAACAAACTGATGCTTACCCCACAACTGCAGAGAAACAGGCGGGGCAGAACATGTCTGTCGGCCGACCTCATTCACCAATAAGTTCTTAGGCGTGCAGTCATGGCCGAACATTGCCACTACTATTCTAAAGGTTGGATGGATGTGTTTAGGGCCGTACAATCCCAGAGTCACCTTCCTTCGCACATGGTCCCAAACAGTTGAATTAGGTCTAATATTTACTGATCGGACAACGACGGCCACATACATGCAAGGTTCCAGACTGTCCAGTTGGACTTGGACTGTGTCATTGTAGATATAGGCGTTGGGGATTGGAATATATGGTCCTTCCTTGCAGTCGCTCCGGACGCAAACCATCCTAGCCTCGTGGTTGCTACTGTTCTTAATGGAAATAGATAATTTAATCTCGAGCGCGATGAATGACTTAATCTCCATGTTGCTAAGCTTTATCTCCACAACAGGACTGACAGTGGAGCAATGGTCACCGTTCAGCTCCAGCGGAGGATCTAGCATAGCCTTCATAGAAATCTGCTGGTAGTCTCCGGAACTCACATGGCCTTCCGGGATGTGGACGCTGATGTTGGTGTCTGGAAGTTGAACGACGCCTCCGTTACTATCGAGGTTACACACGATGCTGGTTTCTACAGGTTGAGTTTGACCCCAACCAGGGCTTTGACCCAAGGAATCAAGATCATGGCAAGACCTGGCCAGTTTCCGATGGTTTAACCAAGCAGTCCTGAAGTCCTCCCGGCTCTGAAACTGTTCTGGTAACGGAGCTTTGAGACCAGTGAAGAATCCAGAAGATGAAAGCGATGGATTGGACTGTGCCTGCAACACTGAAAGTTCTGAAAGGCTGTGAGAACGCTTGCTCCGGAAGAAATCTGAGGTATATTCTTGGATCGGACTTGTGATCGGAGTGCTGGTGTAGTGGCAGTGGGTAAATCCATTTGGAACAGAGCTGGTGTTCAAGTTAGAAATTGTCAACGGAGGGTTTTCAAAAAGAATAAGGTCGGTTGAGTTTCTTTTACTTTTTCCGTTTTGATCCAAATGACTCTTAGGAGGGTTGATGGAGAAGGGATTACAAATGGCAGCCGGTTTCAACGTTACACCATTTGTCCATTCTCCAAACTCCTTCAACCCTTCCTCATGGTCCTCACCAAAACCGTCAATCATGCCGCTGTCGCTGAGGGTGGAGCTGCGGAAGTGGAGCGGCTGGACGTAGGTGGCCGGGATGTAGCCCATCTCTGTGTTGTTGTGGGCGTACCACCACTCTCCGCCTGACGTGTCCAGCACAAACAGCCGGTCACCTTTGGAGAACTTCAGAGTGGTGAAGCTGCTGGGGCAATAATCTTTTATGGCAACTACTTCCTGCACTGCTCCCAACGATGACGAAGTGTCCAGTCGTAAGGCACTCGGAGAAGGCACTAAAAACACAAAAGGCATTAATTTATCATTGATTTCAGAAATTGCAGTGTAAATATGTAAATATATTTGCTGCTTTCTTGTTAACAGAATATTGCCGAAATACAAACCTCCACCTACAAACCCCGCCTACAAACCTCCACCTACAAACCCCCCCTACAAACTCCGCCTACAAACCCCCCCTACAAACTCCGCCTACAAACCTCCACCTACAAACCCCGCCTACACACCTCCACCTAAAAACCCCGCCTACAAACCTCCACCTACAAACCTCCACCTACAAACCCCGCCTACACACCTCCACCTACAAACCCCCCCTACAAACTTCGCCTACAAACCTCCACCTACAAACCCCCACCTACAAACCCCCCCTACAAACTTCGCCTACAAACCTCCACCTACAAACCCCCACCTACAAACCCCCACCTACAAACCCCCCCTACAAACTCCGCCTACAAACTTCCACCTACAAACCCCCACCTACAAACCTCCACCTACAAACCCCCCCTACAAACTCCGCCTACAAACCTCCACCTACAAACCTCCACCTACAAACTCCGCCTACAAACCTCCACCTACAAACCTCCACCTACAAACCCCATCTACAAACCTCCACCTACAAACCCAGCCTAAATACCTCCACCTACAAACCCCGCCTACAAACCTCCACCTACAAACCTCCACCTAGAAACCCCCCCTACAAACTCCGCCTACAAACCTCCACCTACAAACCTCCACCTACAAACCCCCACCTACAAACCCCCACCTACAAACCTCCACCTACAAACCCAGCCTACATACCTCCACCTACAAACCCCGCCTACAAAACCCGCCTACAAACCCCCACCTACAAGCCTCCACCTACAAACCCTGCCTACAAACCTCCACCTACAAACCCCACCTACCCTAACCTCCACCTACAAACCTCCACCTACAAACCCCGCCTACAAACCCCCACCTACAAACCTCCACCTACAAACCCCGCCTACAAACCCCCACCTACAAACTTCCACCTACAAACCCTGCCTACAAACCCGCCTACAAACCTCCACCTACAAACCCCGCCTACAAACCCCCACCTACAAACCTCTACCTACAAACCCTGCCTACAAACCCGCCTACAAACCTCCACCTACAAACCCCACCTACAAACCTCCACCTACAAACCCCACCTACAAACCTCCACCTACAAACCCTGCCTACAAACCTGCCTACAAACCCCCACCTACAAACCTCCACCTACAAACCCTGCCTACAAACCCGCCTACAAACCCCCACCTACAAACCTCCACCTACAAACCCCGCCTACAAACCCCCACCTACAAACCTCCACCTACAAACCCTGCCTACAAACCCGCCTACAAACCCCCACCTACAAACCCCGCCTACAAACCCCCACCTACAAACCTCCACCTACAAACCCTGCCTACAAACCCGCCTACAAACCTCCACCTACAAACCCCACCTACAAACCTCCACCTACAATCCCCCACCTTTGACATGGTTGAAGCTTGTGCTGCTGATTCCTTCGCTGACGTCGTTGAGAGTTCCTTCTGACTTGCAGCGCGGCAGGACGTGGTTGTTGTTAGTCACTCTGACGATCCGATTGGCCGCCATGACTCCGGACGCACCAGCGAATTTTTGCAGCTTCCCAATCTAGAAGAAGAAGAATCATCTTGATTTATAGACAGACAAATGCACAATATCATATCAATATCACACAAGGCTAAACTTTGGAAAACTACATTGGAAAAATGTATGTATATTTCTCCAGGGTGAGATCTTATCTTATCTTACACCTTTCAAGTCCTCAGATCATATCAGAGAAATGAAAGTGCAGACCCAAGAACAGATAAAGTGGGAATCCGATGACTGCAGCTTGGATCCTTGGCCTTACTTTTAAAGCCGCAGATATAAAAATGACTGTAGTAACCACTTTTATTGAGTCGGAGCTGAATTTGACTTTGAAACCCCGGTGTCAGCAAAGGCCTTAATCTGATTAGAAATGGAGTGTGCAGCAAACTCTTCCTCCATAGATTTATTATTTGTCCAAAACGAGGGGAGAGCGAGGCTACATTTGCACATTAAAGGCCCAGGAGCAGTGAGGGTGGTTGGATAAACGGTTCCCTCATTATCTGCGTAGAGCCGTCCCCTAAGAGACGTATGTGCTACAGAATGATTCATCTGCACAGTTCCATCTCGTCTCCTGTGAAGAGGCTTCGGCTAATTAGCTCCAACAAAGATGAAGGCCACATTAAAAACTCGAGTACTTCTTGTTCAAAAAGGTTGAATAATATTATCACATCACAATGGCTGGATCTACTATTAGGTATTTGAATGTCCTTCACAAAATATGTATTTAAACCACAATCTTGCTGTTTTTGTGGTTCAGACAAAGACACTAAGTCCTGTTCCTGAAATGCATGGACAGATGTTTCTATTATCT